CTGGCAGTTCCGGCTGTACAATGTCGATGGTACAGTGGAGTTCACTCCGAAAAGGCCTGTCATATTACAGATTGCGAGCAATTACGGCGCTTTAGCTTAATCAAAAACGACTGCTTATAGTCCAAAAAGAAAAGTAGAAGAAGAAATGGCAGCGCTAAGGTTGCGAGCGTGTTGCGAGGTATACGACTGAACGGCTTAAAAGCTTCGTTGCTTCAATTGTGAACGGAAAAATCAATGCACACTATTTGATTGTTTTTGCTTTCCAACTATCGTTTTCTCAGCCTACTGCCATCTGACTACGCATCGCTTTAACGTACGTACTCGAAAATAAGCTAGTCGGTGTCAATAACATCGTATCCACACGCAGAGTACAAACTAAAATATATAGTAACCCATCCGCAAAATATACATATATAGAATTTGAAGCTTACAGATTTCGAATAGAAATTGTATTCAAAAAATACATTCATGCATATAACATCAGATATGATTCAGAGATTTCAGCTATATGTATAGAGATATACTAGACCAGATTACGGTAGTGAGCGAGGTCTGATAAAAATTCTAAGAAGCGCGCAAGACAGCCGATTTCGACCTCAAGTGTAAATATAAAACAGAAGAAATAATTAATCAAGTTCACGATATCATTACGATATTCCATATGAGGTCCGTGGTTTGGCGATACTCGCAAATAACTATATGAGTGGTGACATACCCCAGTGCCTGTCACCGCTTCCATTACCTTGAACTTCTTCCTTTTTCGCCAATTTTTCTGTTTCTATGCAGGCTCAGGAACGCTAGCTTTGATAATTTTTATTATAGCATTCTATCCAGCCACAGTGACTTTCTACGCTTTTTTTTGCACAAAGAGTCACCTTGGCTAGATTTAGTGCTGCTTTGCTTTCGATTTTTTTCTAATTGTAACACCTTAAAGTGTATCACATAAATAAATAAATATCGGACAAGGCAATGCCTAATTTCTTTTCTAAACATTACTTTTTCTTCCCGCACTCATATGAATAGGATCTAAAATGATTCGATTCAATCGCATCAAGGTTTGTCTGCTAAGGAAATGGCATGAGTGATATTAGTAGCTTTGCAGACTTTCAGTTGTAGTCGAAAGATTGTAACAATGCATACTACAAGTCTTTGATTCTATTATGACTAAATGAAAACACATCATAGGTATCTAAATGCAGTTCACAATTATTTTCAAGAATTGGACTTCGGCGTTGGACCTAAAATAACGGAACTTTGGCATAATTGAAGTGTAAACGTCAAACTCAATGACAGCATTTTAGATGCAATATAGAAGACTTACAGTGCTAATTGCGCTACTTACAAGTTTGAATCGTTCTGTTTGCGTACTTGTTGAAGAATTTTCATGTGGATTTACTAGGGAAGACAGAGAACGCCTATATAAGCTTCTTCGTGATGATTGTGCTAAATATAGAAGTATGGTTCTCTAGTATGATGTGATTAGAAATAGTATCCTCACCTTCTTCTTCTTTCAGTCCCCCTGAATTTTTGTTGTGCTCAGCATAAAGACTGTTATGAGCTTAAACCAGAAAAGGATTACTGCGACAATAAATTATATAATTGCATTGAGGTAAGTTTTTTTGAGGATATAAGCTTAGTTAGCTAGTGCTGCAAATTATCCTGATCCCTCCTCATCATGTTATTAAGAATTCATCCAAAATCTGGAAACAGTCCACAAGTAAAGATAAATGTGAAACAGCGGTTACGCAAATCCGCGTGGATTTGATGAATTATGGAAAAATTGCCTACAATGACTCAACTTCAGGTCTTGATGATTTCGGTTATTGTGAATAAAATTATGCAAGATTTATTAGATTAGTTTTTAGGCCAAAACGAACAAAATATTACGTACAAGAATGTACTGAATTCCAATCGTTCCCAGC